CAGCTTTCGCGGAGCCTCGGCCTCGCGGAAAAACCTCGCGTCGTCTCGCCTTGGCGCGCGTGCGTGATTCGCGCGATCGTGCGTTCCCCTGAGAATTAATGTCTCAATCCGCGGCAACATTATACGTGAATTACCCGCGCGCGAGTGAGAAGAGATTGTTACCGGGGGGCTGTCGCGTCGTTATCCGTGCCATTTGCGAGTTTGTCTTTCGAAGCGCGTGCTGCGCTTTTTCACCCGACGATAGCCTATCATCATCGCTTTCCCATCGCGAGGAAAGTCTCTCCAGCCTCAACCGCGCATCTCACGCGAGATGAGAGGTCTGATCCGGGGCCCGAGACGTTGAAACTCGGATGAAATTACTTCGGTTGGAAGGACCGTAAAAGGATAATTACATACCGCTGGGAATAAGTTGTCAAACGAGCCGGCGATTTAACCCTCTCCTCTTTTCTTATTTTTCTTTTCTCTGTTTTCTTTTTTTTTTTTTTTCTCCTATACAGTGAATCGCGATTCGCCGTTCTCAAACGTTTGCGACTTTGAACGCGTGGATGATCAGAAAACAATTCGATTACACGTCACTTCTCTTTCGTTTGTTCGTTATGCGTAGCACGGAAGTCAACGAAATGTAAAAAATTGGGATTCGCCAAGGCAGTTTCACCACCGTTGCCGCGGACTATAATTACGAGCCAGCTACCTCGACCTAATAAAAGTAACTCGCTTGCGCGCCGGCGAAAGAAGTCGAGTTCAGAAAGTGGACAAAAAGGTCGGGACGCCGCAGGGTGTATCGCTCCATTTCGTTAAAAGCCGGTGTTTGAACGCCGAGATTACACGCGCGGCGATATGTAAAAGTCGCGAGTTGCTAAATATCGTCGCGAGCAGAGCGCTCATCTCGCTGCCATCGTCATGACCAATGTCTGGAAAACATCGTCGTTAGCGGGGCGGTGATAGAAGCGTCAAGAGGCGACGTCGTTCGCGGAGTTTGTAGCGCAGTCGACACGTTTGACTGGAATTTCCAGCCTGCTGGAGTTGTCGTTCTCGCAATTTCACGACGCGTTGGAGCCGATCTCGTGGCCCACGGCCATCGGCTGTGTTTCTTTGCCGTATGTACACTGTATCGGTACACAAGCGCCGTGAAACGAGAGAAAATTCGAAGCGATCGCCAGAAAGGACGAGAAACTGCCATTAACGGGCCGCGGTTTCCGCTAATCCAGCCGTTTCTCCCTTGTAACGTGGGAGGTTCGGTACAAGTCGCGCGATTCGCCTCAGCCTCAGATCGCGGACAGCCTGCAACGATGTTTGTGCAAGATGATTTACGGAGATCGAGAGCCGCATTTTCTTCGCAACGGCTCTAAACAATGAGCTTTCAAATCTTATCTGGCCATTGTGCGTGTTGTTTTATTACGAGGAAATAAAAACTGAAATCGTCGGAAGGAGGAGCGCCGGGTTAACTGCGAGTTTGTAATCTTTGCAAGGTCAGTCTTAATTATACGTTGTGACTGTGTGCAAATGCGCGGCGAAAAAAAAAAAAAAGAGAAAAAAGGATGAAATATCGTGCGAGAGGAGATTTATGGGAAGTTTAAGGATTCGTATCGCATCTCGCGAACAACGATTTGTTGCTACTAACGAATTATATTCTTTCCAACCATTTATGACACTTACTACATTAGGTCTGCAGAATAGATTTCTAGAAAATTGCAACTTCATCGTGTTACATATATTAGACTGTTTAATAAATTCGATCGTCACTTGATTTTACATTTTTCAAGGCATTAAAAATATACGTTATAGAAATTGTTGTTTACATCAATTATATATATATAATTTTAAATAGTTAAATTAACTGTTTAACTATTATAACTTAATATTAATAATAACATATAATTTTAAAATATTAAAAGAATTATTTGTTATTATCAAATCATTTAACCTCTTAGTTTGTAAATGACGAGTATACTCGTCATGCGAGAAAAGTAATTACGATTTGTTACTTAGATTAAATTTTTTGTAGAAAATAAAATAAACTTTAGACATTATAGAAAATTTTAAAACTATACTTGACTAGTTCTTTTCACATAATTTCTAAATACTTTCTTGCTACTAACATCAATCACTATTAATTAAGTTAAACAATAAAATTATTGATTAAAAAGAAAAAACTAGTGTAACTTCCTTGCTATTTAATTCAACTTTACAGCAGCTGCACATACTTTGCGTTTGACGAGTATAATCGTTCTAGCTGACTTTTAGAAGCGGCAACAGAGCAACAGAGGTTCGTTGTACTATTTAACAATGGGATTCAACGATCGTAGAGATACACTATTACACATGCAGGTACAATTTTTCAACGAAAAGCCCAAACCTTCAAAGTTACTCGATTCACTTGTAAAGAACAATCAATCAAACGATGCAAATTAATGTTGCGAACGAACTTGTTACACCAACCTAACGCATATTTCACAACAGAAAGCTCTGCCGCGATGGCACGAAGGTAGAATAATTGGGAAAAAAGCAAGCGAGACCAGAGGAAGGAGGACGACGCGTTATCAAGCAAAAATTCTTAAGGGAAGAGGAGCCGAAGGGTGGGCACGGCTCGGAGCAGCGTTGTTTCACGGGGGTAACGATCCTCGAGATCTCATTTACGGTACAAATTAGTCGTAGGCCGGTCCTTGGTTCTTAATGGTCGGCCGGCACGCAAAGAGGCTAGCTTTAATGAAGACCGCGCTTTGTCCGTGAGGAAGTGTTGCGCGACGCGACGCGGCTCGCAGCCGATCCGCTCGCGTTGCGCCGAGCCACGCGGTCGTATTTCGCGCGAGCGTCCGCTGAATGCGAGTTAAACGAAGATTTATGCCGCGCCGTGTAAATATAAACAACAATATGCAATCCCCGGCCTCATTGTCCCGCGCGAACGAGCCGCGCGAGCCGGCCAATGCCAACTAATAAGCGAACGCGTCTCGCTTTCACGCGCGCTCGCACGCTCGCGCGTCGCCAACCTTTCTACCAAGCTAATTGACTGAACGGAACCGGACTGCCTCTATTTTTCTACGTATGTTATTCCACTTTAAAGTTTGTCGAAACGGCGACTGTTAAGTAATATATAGTAATAAAGTTCAAGAAATGCGTGGTAATTTGCGGTGATATTCGCTGAATCGATCTCTAAAAATTTCAGTCTTCCAGCGTCGAAGTTTGATCTCGTCTGCCTCGGAAGAGATCGGAACTGTGACTTGTCGCTCTGAGAGGTGAGACGAATGGTCTGAAATTGAGTTTCCAAATCGTTCCGGAGATCAATTGCAATTGAATTGGCAATTTGCTGTCCTCAATGATTTTCTAGAAGACCAGACCAGAGTTTGAATACCCGCAGTATTCCGACGAGAGAAAACAAAAAAACAGGAAGAAAATAAAGGTTCGTCGCACATTTCGCCGCGATCTGTTTCCTCTAACCATTCTCATCGGCAACGACGAACAAGACAGACCGCGCGGAGGATGAAAAATGGAGACACGGCGGTGTGTTTCGTCAGCGAGAGAGAACGCGTTTCGTCTCGCCGGTGAAATTTCAGCGGGCGCGTAATGCGCGCGCCTATTAAATGAACCGGTTTTAATGAATTTGCTTGTCCGCGGCGCGGCGTGCGCGAGTGGTGCCCGGCGTGCACGTGTAGCAGCGGCGAGCGTGCAGTCGCCTCGGAAGACTAATCGACCGGGGCGTAACGAGCCACCGAGCGACGATCCTTCCTCTCCACGAAGACGAGGACGAGGACGAAACTCGCCTGCCTCTTCTCCGCGAGCGGCCGTGTTTTTTGCCAGCGCGCTTCAGAAATTTGTCTGTCGCTGCCTTAATACGCCGGCTGTCACGCGCGTCCGCGCTCATCCATCCAGAGTACTTCTGGCTACGTGCACCTCTCCCGCCGCTCCCCTCGGATCGCTTTAAATTCGCCGATTCCCACGTGCGATTTCGCCCATCGCGATTTATTTTACCAGCGCTTCGTTTCAACTTGCCTCGAAAGTTGACCGTGTGCGTCACTCTTCCCATTTTTTACCTGATCGTAAGTAACATAAGAGCGACTCCTCCTTGGACTTGAGTCTATCAGTCTCTCGTTACAAACGAGTGATATCGACTGATGAGTTTTTCGTATGGAACGAGCGAAAAAACGAGTCGAGGCGAGGCGCGGTTCGAACCTGGCTGTGCCGTCGACTAAACTAATTTCGAATTTTTCAATTAACGAAGCTTCCATTAATTCCGATGATGTGCGTTTTACTGGAGAGAAATAGGCATCGAAATCGACGCGATCATTAGGCTCTCGTCATTAGAGATAGTGCCTCGATTGTAATCACTACCAGCTAACTTACACCGACCGGGCATCGTATCGATTCAATAAATCTCGCGCTTCTTTTTTCCTCGTAACATGTGTTGCGAGGTGATACGCAAGACATTCATTCATCATCGGTGCGAATGAGAGAAGATATATATATATAATAAAGATTCTGACTGCCACACTCACAATTCCGATCGATCTCGAATCGATGAATTCTCGCAAACTTTAACTGGAACAAAGTTTCCAATGACTGTCAGCGATAACACTCTCGCGATTCGCTCGTATAACTATCAAATTCTTTCATAAATTTTCAACGTATACACGGTGGTTGTAAAAATTTGCGAAATTCGGGTCTTCGAAGGACTGTTATCTAAGACGTTTCTGGTTTCTTTGTGGATCATAGTGTTCTTCTGAATCGTTCGAACATGTTTGTTTTTCGATAACTTTTTTCAAAAAAACGCGTTTTCGGCAATTTTGATTACGAGCAATCACGTGGCCAATGTTCGACGATCGTACGTCATTTTCACAAGGTCCTGTGATTACAACGTTTAGAAGTGTGGCAAGGCGATTCGTGACACGGGAAGACGCGCGTCAAACCGCGTAATAACAGATCTGTCGTTGTTTTTCCAAGCGAAATTCATCCCTCTCTCCATTGAGAGAGAAATAATAATCGTTTGACAGGTGGAGTGTACTCACTATGTCCTCCATGCTGTGATTTCCAGCGTGCATTAATCCGGGATTCGTACAGCTCCTCACGGGCGTCGCGCGAAGCGAAGCGAAGAGAAGCTTGCGTACACACGCCCGTTACTGTACCGCTTCTCCCCTCGTTGTTTCTTCGTTCGATCACACTTCGTTTCTCTTTGCACTGAACGTCGAACTGCTAGCTGTCACGGCTAGGACCATCGTTCCAAAAACAATCACTTTCCATCGAGAAACTTGTCACCACTTTCAAACTCGGCTGGAACTTGTCCCTGCTCCGAAACCGTTCGCGACGGTCATAACACTATGTTTCACGGTACGTCTTTTCACGGATCGCTGGTACCTGTCGCTGGATACAAGGATTCCTTCCTTCCTGTTCACCTGGGTAAATAATTACACTCGGCCGTGTATGTATATATCCTCGCGAATCGGAGCTGTTCCTCGTAATCCGAGACGATGGAGTATCGAGTCTATTCGTACACGGAAAAGCTCGCGCTGGAGAAACACGTACACGCACCGGCCGGCGATCTCACCGTAAGATCGCCGCGAAGATCGTCGTTACCGGTACACGGTGACGACAACGACAGTCGGGGTGGTCCACGACGCGCGACATCCTCGTACCGCTCGTCGAAATCTCCGCGTGCTCGTTACACGTTTGCCAGCGCGCCGACGGTATCCTCTGCGAGCGGTTGCCTTCTCCCTCCGGGGATCGATTCTGTTGTCGACCACCGTGCACCGTGACGCTCTCGAAAAATCGACGAAATTCTCAAACGATCGGCAAACCCTGGTGTCACGCTCTCGATCCTTTCTATTTCGTATCGATCGTACGGCTCGTCCCGTTTTTATCGCGTTCCAAGGAGCAAGAACGTTCAGCGGACGGGGCCAGGGACCACACACAGTTGTGGAAGAGTTCGTAGAACGATGGACGATCGTAGTGGAACACGAGACGAACGAACGAACGAACGAACGGACAGACGGACGGACGGGATGCAAAGAACGCGCCGAGAGCGAACCGTTCGCCGGCTCGGGCTGAATCTCACTGACTCGGTTGTTGCGTTGCCCGCCAGCTCTGACCGCGACGTGTTACGCTCGATAGAGAGGGAGAGAGAGAGAGAGAGAGAAGCACGTAGAAGAAGAGAGAGCGTGACAGAGACGAGTAGGAAACCCGTGTAGAGGGGGTTGTGAGGCCCTTCCATCGAACCCCTCCATGGCAGAGGCCTACCGGGTGCCCAGGGCCTCGACCATTATCTCTGTTAGGCAGCGCTGCCTCGCGTCACGGACGACCCAGAGGGACCAGGTTCCGAGGGCTTTATTATATTTACGAGGCGTTATCGAGCCAATCCAACAATATTGATTCCGCGCCGCGAAGAGATCGGCCATCTTAAAGAACGCCCAGTCCACCGAACCCCTCCTACCCCTTTGGTTACGCGCCCTCTTGCTACCGGAGGGCTCGTGCCACTCTCGCCCTTGTTCTTTTCGCTCGCTATTTCTTAATATCGTTAATCTTTCGTTCGGTCGATCGAGCCAACTTCGCCCATTGGCCAATTTTACAATCTCGCTCTTTTCTCGGTTTTTGCCGCCAAGAATACGTATGTATATACGGTGTGCGAGAACTCGAAAATATCGGGAACCCGATGGTCGGGACGAGTCGGGTCGGATCGTGTTCTCGAAAATTTCGAGAACCCGGCTACCGTTTCTCGAACTAATCTGCAGTGCTGTATAGCAGCCTACAAAATATGTAAATATACAGTTTAATTTCTTCTGTCAGTTTTCGCGAAGTTATTGGAAACACGGATTCTAAGAATCGTGTGACCTGATGTATACAAACGTGTGACTGCGTGCTTAGTACTCGGACATTATGTACGCTGTTGAGCAGTATCGCTGAAACATTCGGCAAGTTCAGACGTATATTTCAAAATCTGTGTGAATTTAATAAAGATTAAAAATTTAAAAAAAAAAAATGTCGAGTGATAGTGAGAGTAAAATTGTGGTAGCAGTAAGTAGTGCAGAAGATATCGTGCAGAGGAAGAAGGTAAAGAGAAGCTCTGTTTGGGATTTTCAAGAAAAAGATGACACAAAGGCAGAACGCACGCATTGTCACCATGAATTTTAAATTGTAAGTATGCAAATACTACTGGTTTATTACGCCATTTGAAGCATATGCATCCAAACATAAGTACATGTACTAGAAAAGAAACTGAATCGATATAAAATTTGTCGCTGGTACAAAATGATTCGCGAAAGATTGTTAAACCAAAAGATATAACAGAAGAAATTACTCGAATGATGGTTCTAGATCTGCGACCTTTCGATACAGTTGAAGGCGTAGGCTTTAACGAATTATTTAAGCTTGTTCCCAATCCTATCCCAAATCCCAACTCTTTCAGGAATCCCGATAAATTCGAGAATCTCGAAATTTTCGGGTACCCGTCCCGATCCCGAAAAAATTTCGTGTTCCGGACCCGACCCGATATTTCGGGTTCTCGCACATCTCTAGTAATTACACGATTTCCAGCATTTGTTTCGCACGAACAAAGCTGAAGGCATGTAGCCTGCTCGACGATCTCGATTTGCTCTCTCCTCTGGACGGAGAAGCGGTCTAGAACATGCGGGTTTTCGTTTATACAAATTCTTTTTGATTCGCCGCGACACAGGCAGTCGCATAGGGGTGATCTCCTTGGAAGTTCTTTCTTTTTTTTTTTTTTTTTTAAGATCATTCCCGATGGATAACAGCACGGCATCGCTGTAAGCGAGACGTTTTCGATTCCATGGCGGCGGAAGTTACGGAAACGTAGCAATTTATTCATTCGCCCGGGGCCCAGACTAGTTGTCCTCTATTTCTTCCTCGTTCTCGTCAGTTTTTTCCTCTCCTGCCATCGCGCTGCCAGCGAGATGACCTCTCGTCGTTGTCGGAATAAAAACGAGTTTCTCGTATGAGTTAGATGTCCTTTTGAATGATCGTGTCGGTCTTTACCTGACTCGTTGCCTCGGGGTCATTGTCTTTGTAATCCCAGTTCTCGTTTCAGCCCGGTGCTCGTATTATGCTCATGATTTAGGTGAATTCTATTACGACCTACTCTCGGCATACATACTGTCACATTAAAGTCGGGATCTTTGTTACGCCGGCATGGCTCTCTCGAATGGCTTCGTCGCCTCCTTTTTAATCGATGCTAAACCAAGGATCAGAGCCGTGAGCTTTCAATTTCTTTGAAAACAAACAACTAACTTTTGTAAATTTCCTCTAATTGTCGCAAAAAGATTGGTATAGACTTCATCATCCTTTTCTATCCTACTACACGCGTAGAAGCTTAGAAATGAGCAGTTCATATCAACCATTACCCAAATGTTTGTTCAATTTCAAGATTGTTTTACTCAATAAGGTCAATTTACTCCCATTAAATCCTCGTCAGTCGGAGCAACGCCATCGTTGGCAACGGTGACTTCAATGCCCAGAAATAACACCAGCTTCTATCAACAGCAAACTTTCCTTCGTTCCTCAGCGAACGTTTGCTTCGCGCTTCGCGACGATCGATCGGACACGACTTTTCTCGGGAACGAATAGCATCGTCGAAGTACATACGATCGATCATCCGTGAGACAGTGCTTCAAGAGCACTGTATGGTGTAATAATCGCAACAGGAGGACACTCTCCACATGTCTACTTACTGGTTGCAAACTGGTGTTCCGAACGAGAGCCGATCGTTCATTGCCTGGCGCATGTTCAAGCATGTACGTGGGTGTGTAGGTGGGCCGCGTAACAGCTGATCGTCGCCGTTGATCGGAACGGGCCGAGCAGGAAGCCGCGGACGTCCTCGTGGCCGCATACGCGCGCTGCTTCGGAATTTCATCCGTATTAGATTCGAGCGGACCGATAAAGATACGGTATCTCGGTTGCTCTCTCCCACTCGCGGCTCGGCTCCCTTTTCGCTTGGTTCGCCACTCCGAACGTCCTTCCGATCTCCGTTTTTGGTTTCGACTCTTTGTTCGTTACACAATTTGATTCGTTCTGTTGTGCTTCTTTTGTGGTCCCATCTCACGCGAGATTCTATTAACTTTTTCATTCGTTCGTCGTGGATCGTTTTTCCCTCCGTGTTCATTAGCGTTTGAAAGGACGTGTGAAGCGGAACGTTTCATGCGTGTAATAGAAAGACGTTTAATCGTTGCCCCGTAATACAAATCGCGTTGCTCGAGCTTTGACAGTCGCGACTAATTATAAAATTGGGTTGATCGAGTTGATCGAGTATCGTTTCGACGCCAATTGCAAGTTCGGCCAGTTTCACGTCCCATTAAATTCTACGTTGTCGCAATTAAACGGTATAGTAGAATCGAAAGGAACCTTGAGAAACGAAGGAACGAGCAGTAGTTTATTCATGCGGCGATCTACGCGTGGATTATTTTGCACGACGCGCCGCGTATTCTTCATAACGATACCGATCGATGTAAAAATGGTGGGAGACATTAACGAACGGCATGAATAGAGATGCCGTTACCCGATCTAGAAATTGCATCTTACGATACGGTCATTAGACGTCGTGTAAGAATACCATATTCACAGTTTCGTTCGATGATTGAAATAACCACAAATGTTATCAAAATAGTGGAGATCAGGTGGCGAATCTTATGTGGCAAGTACAATAGCACAGAGTTTCTCAAACTTTCCCGCTTGACGACCCCTTTTACCCGAGCAAATATTTCCGCGACCCTGGTATATAAACTAGAAATAGAAATTAAAACATTTGCTGACAATAAATCATAAAGAAAATTTATTCTCTGGTATACACACGAATATAATTTTACCATGTAGATAAAGACAAAGCCAGATATTCAATTTTTTAGTTGAAATATTTTTTAGTTGAAATAAGAATCCCTGCAACAGCAGTTCGTCGAATAACACAACCTCAGAGGAATCTAGTTTCGCAATCTTGGAGAACATCTCCAAGGTAAAGAGAATAATAGATACATCTCTCGATTCGTCGTTAGAGATGGTATAAGAATACTACGTCTATCGTATTCGATACAATTGTTATCAAAATAGGGGCGACGTGCGTAGAAACGACATCCTCGCAGGTACAAAATTCGATAACAGTTCGTCGAAAGATACCTCGGAGAATCTAGTTTCCCAAATCTCATTGCGACGGTATTGGAGAGGATCTCGGGTAACGAGAACGCGAATAGGAGAGCGGTTCTTGTCAAATCGCGCGTTGGTTGTGTGCTCACGGAAGGTAAGGGAGGAGACTTGATGAACTTGCCTCGTGAATCACCTCGCCTATAAAAATCGGCGCCGATGCGTGAGAGAGATAATGGCGGGGAGGAGCGGTAACAACAGGTTTGCTTATGTACGCACGTAGAGAACGGGGCCCGGTGGGGCAGGGACGGGGCCGGGGCCGGGGAGCAGGAAACTCGAAGAGCAGCGGCCAAGAAGGCGGCGGCCCGCGCGACTGCAACGCGTGCACCTCCAGCGGGAATGCACGCACACGCGCCTGGCCGAGTGCACGCTTGTGCTCGGAGCTCGCAGATGAGTCAGTGCGCGAGACGCGCTAACGTTCGCCACGAGGCTAACGTTCGAGCTCGGAGTTCCGCTGGCTGCGCGAGGGTGGCGTTTTACCCGCGTCGTGTTACGTTCGTTGGCGTGGCGAGAGGAGGTCACCACAGCAGCTGGTGGTCTTTGGCAAACTGTTTGCCTTCTGCCGCAATAATGGACATTTTCGAAAGAAATTTCTCTGATCGTTTTACGTGTAATTTATGAAACTGATCGATGCGGCTTCTAAAATGGTTCTACAACGGCTCGTGATTCTACATCTGACACTGAAACTACCAAAGTGGTCAAAATGGCCAATTTATAATCTTCCACGGGAATTTTCTTCGTGACAATATATTTTTAGAGACTCGAATGATTTTTGGTAAATTATATAAAATGGCGGCTAAATGTTCATTATTGTATTATAAATCTTTTCTCGTTACCTGCACTTACATTTTTTCGCTACAAATTTGTACTTTAGTTACAGTGCTAACGAGAAAAGTATGTA